CAGCTTATTTGAGGAGGTGTATAAGGGCAACAATGAAAGGTGAAGATTTCTTGGAAAGGTGTGGTCAAGGCTGGCCTTCAGGATACCGCAAGCACCACTCGCAAGCATTCTGGAACATGCGTAGCCAGGGGGAAACCTTCAGGGACTGGCGCCAAGAGCTCGGCATCCAGGGCCACTGCCAGGGAAGGATGCAGCGCTCAGGGTGAGGCATCATGGCCAAGTGGCGTCCGTCAGGGGAACAGACGCCTGCAATGCCCAGTGGAGATCCATTGGGATTCAGAGGGTACTCCTCAGTTGGCAGCCCCTGATCGTCCACATAGCGTAGCGGGACCAGACGTGCAGACCGCAGGCGAGCCAGGATTTCAGCGGAACGGAACTGCATCCGACCTGATTGGAGGAGAAAGGCACCGGATGAACACACATACAAGCTGCCTTCTACTGAGTCCGACCCTTGGTCCATCAAGGTCAGTCCTGTCTACTCAGACTGGTGGCAGCAGTTCTCCAAGGCCTCAGGTGAAGCTCTTTCACAGCACCTACTGCCTGGTCCCTTTAGCAGGGAATGCTGCTGACTGAACACTGGGCCTTTTTGCATGCAAAGTAGAGGCTCTACCACCGGGCCACGGGCACTCCCCAAGTCCCACGTGCTTGGCGTGAGGAAGTCCTCATGGAATCCAGGAGAGTGGGGGAACTACAGGTGGGGTGAAATCGTTCTTGGAAGAAGCAGGAGTTACCTACATGATGCTATGAGTTCAGAACACTTGAAACCTGCCTGATGCGGAGTCAGACTCCTAAGGTCTATCAAGGTCAGTATTGTCTAGTCAGGCTGGCAGCAGCTCTCCGGGATTCCCGTGGAGGTCTTTCCCATCACCTCCTCTCTGGTCCCTTTAACTGGGGATGCTGGGGATCGAACCTGGGACCATCTGGAGGTGCTCCACCACTGAGCCACTGCCTCTTCCATCGAAAGAGCCTAATGCTTCCACTGGGGCTTGAATCCCGGACCTTCTGCGTGTAAAGCAGATGTGAGAACCACTACACTGTGGAAACCGCTGCCAGGGGAGTAGGACTGCAGAAATATTCGTATTTTTATTTATAAAGATATCCGGCTGTTCTCTACCAGAGCCGGGGCTCTTTCGGCCCTGGCTCCGACCTAGTGGGAACTCTCTGCCAACTTCCATCAGGGCCCTGCGGGACTTAATGCAATTCCGCAGGGCCTGTAAGCAAGGTTCCCTCTAAGCTGTGGAGTCCTGTGAGCAAAAATTCTACTTTGTGAGCTACTGGCATTAATGTTGTGCGCGAGCGATTTGGCTCCTGCATAAATTGGTGTGCTCTGGAGCCATCCTTCCTGAGCTAAGGCAAAAATGTGTGAGCCGGAGGCTAAAAAGCTGTGAGCTAGCTCACACTAACTCATCTTATAGGGAACACTGCCTGTAAGGCAGAGATGTTCCGCCAGGCTTTTGGTCAAGGACAGTGACGGTTTCCCATCACAGCCGGCACCCTCTGGTCTTCCGTTCTGCCCGCTTCGGCCTCCTCCTTAACCTGCCCATGAGATAGAAGAACAGCCCAGAGTAGGTTTTGAACTAAATGGTGGACGCCATATGGAGACTATTAAATTAGGATTAACTGACTGTTGATTTTAATATGTAATTTTATATTGTTTTTAACCTGTTGTAAATTGGCCAGAGCCTTGTGTATTCAGGGATTGGATGATCCAGAAAGTTAAATAATAACAATAACAACAACAACTATTATTATTATTACTATTATTATTGCCTCTCTGTATTGGCTGGTCAACAGTATTCTCAGACCAAGAAAGGTCAGGGGCCACTACTGTTGGCACCAATACTCCCTCTAAGCTTCGGAGTCCTAAGAACAAAAATTCTACTTTGTGAACTAGTGGCATGAAAGTTGTGAGCGAGCGATTTGGCTGCTGCATAAATTAGCTTGCTCTGGAGCCATCTTTCCTGAACTAAGGCAAAAGTGTGTGAGCCGGGGGCTTAAAAAACCGTGAGCTGGCTCACACTAACTCAGCTTAGAGGGAACGCCGGTTGGCACAACAAAGAAACTTACACGCAAGGCCGGATCCTACACCCAGGGGCTTTCTGAATCCAGTAGCAGTAGGCCCGTCCCTCCAAGAATAATTACCTTCTCCGTGAGCCACCCAGATGCCCAGGGTAGAACCGGCCATGCCCCGCAGCATCAGCGCCGGACTTTCCTCAATGTTCGTCATCACAAAACGCGATTCAAAGCGGCCAGAAGTGTTGGGGCTCAGCAGTAGCCCTGGTTTGAGTGAGCCACCTACAAACAGCCAGACCAGAGGTTCACTGAAAGTCCACGAGGCAGGATTCGCGCCCCCCCCCCCTCAGCGCAAGCCCCCGGGAGAGCTGGCTGGTGTCTGCGTCCATCAGGGAGAACCTTCTCTTACCTGCTTCAGCTTCGGCCTCCGGGCTTTCGGCCCCCACCCAACCGAGCAAGGCCATCAGCTGGCAGCCGTTGCACACGCCCAGGCTGAAGGTGTCTCTGCGGCGGTGGAAGGCCTGGAACTGAGCCCGCGCTCGGGGGTTGAAGGTCACCGAAGCAGCCCAGCCTAGAGTCAAACACGGACATTAAAAACAGTGATCAGGTAACAACCTCCTTTGCTGGTCCGGCCTGTCTCATCCAACACTGACTGTCTAAATCAGAGGTGTCAAACATAAGGCCCGGGGGCCGAAAGCGGCCCGTTCAGGGCTCTTATGCAGCCCACGAGCAACTAGTGCAAGGGAGGGAGCAGGAGATTGTTCGGGGCGGGAGTGGGCGGAGTCACTCTGATTGTGGCTTCAGCGCAGTGAAACAACCTCGTCTGCAGCAGTGAAGCAGTGTGGGACCGTCTGCCCAGTGCTGCACGGCTGGGTCTCCAGTCCATGTGCAAAGGGGGGAGGAGGGGTGCACCCCTTTGCACCCCTCCTCCCAGCCCAAGAGCCCTTGCAGTGAGGATACACCCACTCGGAGCTTACCAGCTGCTGTCCTTTATAAAGTTTATACCTCCAGTACCTGGCATTATGTTTTATGGCACACATGGCCCGGCCCGACAAAGGGACATTCATGTCAGATCCGGCTCTCGTAACAAACGAGTTTGACACCTCTGGTCTAAATGGTAGAGGTGGGTAGTGCCATCAAGGGGCGGCCAACTTGTGGCAGCTCTGTAGGGTTTTCAAGGCGAGAGATGCTCAGACTGGTTTGCTGTTGCCTGGCGTTGCGTAGAGAGACACTCTGGGCTTCCTCGACGGTCTCCCATCCGGGTACTGACCAAGGCTGACCCTGCTCAGCTTCTGAGATCTGAGGAGGCCAAGTTAGCCTGGGCCATCCAGACCAGGGGATCCCATCCACTTCTGGGAAACCTCACAAAACAGAATCCCATGGAGACAGGCTGAAAACGACCCTCCGTTTGTCCCACTCCCCGCTACGCAGAGGTCAGGAGGTTTCAAAAAGAAGAGGCAAGGCTAGAGATGTGAAGGCCCGGAAAAAAAACTGGAAAAATTCGGAAAAACCCCATGGTTTTTTTCCCTGTTTTTTTCCTGAAGCCTTTTTGTTTTTTTCCGAAAAATTGGAAAAATTGAAAAAAGAAAAGAAAAAAAAATGATTATGGAACGTTTTATTTTAACATGATGAATAAAATATTTTAAGACAAGGTGTTCAAATATTTTCCAAATCATTTCTGATATATATATATATATATATATGGTATCAGATTGATGTAATTTCTGTGCACTGAGGACAAGCAAGTCCTAGGTTACAAACTGAACTCTCCAATGCAAGAACAAGATGCATTTCTTCCTTTAGGAGGTGCTATTGTCAGAAGAAAATAAAAAGGTTTCAATTTTGTTTTTACATGTGGGCGGGTACTCTGTTTGTAATAACTGTTTGGATACGCTATATTTTTAATATGCTAGTTGTGACAATTTCATGCCAAGTAAAAATGTCCATAGTCATATTTTATGTTCCTAAAGTAACAGAATGACTTTCAAACTAGAAAAGACAAAAGAAATGCTAATGTAGCATTTTTTTCAATTTTTCCAAAAATTTCCATTTTTTCCCGGGAAAAAAACGGGGAAAAAACCCGGGTTTTTTTCCGAGCTTCAAAATTTCCGGAAATTTTACATCTCTAGGCAAGGTTGAGGGTCGGATCACCGCAGAGAAAGGGCAAAGGTCCTCCTCACCTTTGGCCGAGCCCAACACATCGGCGTAGCTGAACCCTCCGACGAAGACCAGGCCTCGGAAGGAGTCCAGCGCTATCTCGCCTGAGCAGAGGTCCTCCATGTTGAGGTCCCAGACCTGCAAATGAGGAACCAACGGGGTGAAAGAGGAAGAGATGGTTTAAATAAGGAAGCAAACTGGCCTTGCGGAGAACGTCTGATGGTTAGAGATGAACTCTGAAGCTCCCTGGTCTTTAGGACACACGCACAAACTCTTCACTTCACCTTCATACCCGTGGTCTGAAAGCCACCCCAGTTCCACCACTCCCCCTTCGTTCCAGGGACTTCAAGACAAGACAATGGAAACAAGACAGAATCCCGGAAATTTATATTCATGGTTGAAATGGACAAAATGACAAGGAAACTAAAGAACCTGGAGGCTGAAGAATTCTATGCAGATTGGAAAGGCTTTAAAGAGTATCTAGAAAAATATTGGGATGTAAAGGACAATTTAATTTGCTTTGACAATTATTGAAAAGTTAATGTTATTAAAGGTAAAGGTAAAGGTTCCCTTGCTCGAAAGCCAGTCAAGTCCGACTCTAGGGTTGCGGTGCTCATCTCCGTTTCAAAGCCGAAGAGCCAGCGCTGTCCGAAGACGTTTCCGTGGTCATGTGGCCGGCATGACTAAACACCAAGGCGCATGGAACGCTGTTACCTTCCCACCGAAGTGGTCCCTATTTATCTACTTGCAATTTCTTTCTTTCGAACTGCTAGGTTGGCAGGAGCTGAAACTAGAGACGGGAGCTCACTCCGTCACGCGGCACCCCTGGGTCTCGAACTACTGAACTACCGACCTTCCACAGCCTGCAGTTCAGCGTCTTAACCACTTGAGCCACCGCAGCTCAATAATGTTATTAGACGAAAGTTAATTAAGAGAAAATACTAGTAGCGAGAAGCGTTACCGGTAGAGTATGACTAAAAGATAAGTGGAAAATAGAAAAGAACTAAGAAATGGTTGGAGCACTGTGGGAAGCCAGAAAGGGGGGGGGGGGGAAGAAGGGATGTATAACCAAAATAATATGTTGTATCTTTGAACTAATAATATATCCTAATAAATTGTTTTTTTGGGGGAAAAGACAAGACGATGGAGACGGGGCCGTGGCTCAGTGGCAGAGCATCTACTTGGCGTGCAGAAGGTCACACAGGTTCAATTCCAAACATCTCCAGTTAAGAGGATCAGGTGGCAGGTGTCGTGAAAGACCTCTGCCTGAGACCCTGGAGAGCTGCTGCCGGTCTGAGTCAGTGTCCCCCCTAAGCTGAGTTAGTGTGAGCTAGCTCACGGTTTTTTAGCCCCCGGCTCACACATTTTTGTTTTAGCTCAGGAAGGAGGGCTCCAGAGAAAACTGATTGATGCAGTCGCCCAATTGCTTGCTCACCACTTTAATGCCAGTAGCTCCCAGGGTAGAATTTTTTGCTCAGAAGACTCCACAGCTTAGAGGGAACCTTGGTCTGAGTAGACAAAAATGACCTTGACGGACTGACGGTCCGATCAGGAAGAAGGCCGCTCCAATCAAAGAAGCAGATATTATTTGTACAAAGGGAAATATGTATGGCACAGAAGTAGAGTTAAGCTTCTTTAAAATGTGGACACATTAAAGTGGACGTTTTAGCTATGTTCCAAATGGTGGGCATTTATCCTGGATTTTATTGGTTTAAAACATTTATTGGCTCCCTTTCTTCCCTATGGAGCTGGGCGGCTTGCGATATAGATAAAAAATACATAGAATACATCAACCAAAACAAAAGGTAAAAACAGTTCAGAACTGTTAAGTGAATGAGTCAAATGCAGTCCTATAGAAAGCCACCTTCAGCTGCCTCCGAAAGATTGAAAATGAAGGGGGCAAGGCACACAACCCCGAGGAGGTGGCTCTATAATTGTGGGGCGGCCACTGAAAAGGCCCTGTCTCGTGTGGCCTCCAGCAAGAAAATCCCAACAACAACAAAAGACCTTTGCAAAGATGTCACAACTAATTGTCTGTTTCTGACACAGTAAAGTTAGGGGCCAACTACATCAAGAAGAGGATGAAGAGGCCACTTTTTCTATACCTTAAGGAGTCTCAGAGCAGCTTACAATTGCCTTCTCTTCCTCTCCCCACAACAGAGAGGCAGGGGGGTCTGAGAGAGTTCCGAGAGAGAACCGTGACTGGCCCAAGGTCACCCAGCAGGCTTCATGTGGAAGAGTGGGGAATCAAACCCGGTTCTCCAGATCAGAGTCCGCCGTTCTGAATCACTAGTACACCACACTGGCTCTCCAACCAAGAAATACATGGGGTGAGGTGGCAGTGGTCACTGCCACGCTGCGAGAACCAGCCGTATTTGAATCAAGCACTATTGCAAGCAGGTTGCATCTCACAGGGGAATAAAAAGGCCCAGGACCAGTGTTCCCTCTAAGCCGAGTTAGTGTGAGCTAGCTCACAGTTTTTTAGCCTCCGGCTCACACATTTTTGTCTCAGCTCAGGAAGGGAGGGCTCCGGAGCAAGCTAATTTCTGCAGCCAAATCGCGTGCTCACAACTTTCATGCCAGTCGCTCACAAAGGCAGAAATTTTGCTCACAAGACTCCACGGCTTAGAGGGAGCGTTGCCCAGAACACGATTCTAGATTCCGAACGGGAAGGAGAAACAGTCCAAAACTCCCCCAGGTTATGTTCCTGAGAGCCGGTTGGGGCGTTTCGACCACACCCACGGTGCCCAGCTCACCTGAAACCCGGCCATGAGGAAAGCAGTCACCATTTCACGGTCCCCGTTGCTCCCTTCTTCCCGAAGCACAGCGACACGGGGGGCAGGCAGGGCTGTGGGAGGGAGAAGAGGTTAGAACAGAGAGGTTCCTAGATACTGTGACACAGTCATCCCTTCTTGGAATCAAGGGGCCGTGGCTCAGTGGAAGAGCATCCATTTGGCTTGCAGAAGGTCCCAGTTAAAAAGGACCAGGCAGGAGGTGATGTGAAAGGACCTCTGCCTGAAATCCTGAAGAGCCGCTGCTGACCAGACAACACTGGCCTTGATGGACCAATAATAACAATGGTCTTATTATTATTATTGTATGGCACTGTGTGTAGTAAAGCCAGGAGATCCTAAGAGTGTATGACAGCCAAAAGTTCTAGCTCTTTTATTGTTATGCACCACTAGGTGGTGAGCGAGACTTATTTTGGAAGCAAGAGACGGTTCAGAGGTGGTTTGCCATCGCCTACCTCTGCGACATGACCCTGGTATTCCTTGGAGGTCGCCCTTCCAAATACTAGCTAGGGCCGTCTCTGCTTAACTTCCGAGACCTGAGTGCCCCCTTTCCCACCGTCCACTCTCATACCTATTTCCTGCAAGAGAGGAAGCTCCTCCTGGGGGTTAAAGGTCATGATGAAGGTCGGTTCAGTGCGCTTGGCCAGTCCCGCCTCCTCTTGGGCCACGCATTCGGGGTTGGCTTGCAGCCGCTCCAGCTGGAAACTAGTGGCTTCCCACCAGCCCCGTAACGTCCCCACTTTCTCAGCCAGCACTTCCTGGCCGTTCACGGAGACCCGGACCTGTAAGGGAGCAACAGCCTTGTGAAGGAGCAAGGGGGTTTGCAGCGGGGGCGGGGGAGTGGTGGCCCCCATACCGTGGAGGGCTGGCCCAAGGAGGCCAGGCCAGGAAGCCTCCCCACACTCCTAGCGTTTTGCAAAGCACGTAAAGCAGAACTGTTCAGAAGGAAACGGAGCTCTCTTGTAACAGACTGGGGAAGGGAAACGCATTGTATTTCTGCTGACGTCCTACCACATTCTGCATTGTGACGTTCAACATGTACGCTTTGTTTAAGCCACAAGCTCTGTTTCAAAATTCTGCAGGTGTAGCCCTGTTCATTACTTAGTTGGTGTATTATCCTACTTATTGCATTGGTTTTTTAAAAAGTTATTTCTTGCCATCAAGTCACAGCTGACCTACAGCAATCCGGTAGGGTTCTGAAGGCAACAGTTGTGCAGAACTAGTTTGCCACTGCCTGACTCTGCACTGCAACCCTGGGCTTCCTTTGTGGTCTCCCAACCAGGGCTATTTTTGGGCAGGAACACACAGGAACGGAGTTCCGGCTGGCTCCCGAGTTGGCCACGCCCAGCAGGAACTCATTAGCATAATAGACCACGCCCAACAGCAGGAACGCATTAGGATTGGCTACATTAGGGGTGTGTGGCCTAACATGCAAAGGAGTTCCTGCTGCAAAAAAAGGCCCTGGGTTTTGACAACAAACAAGGTAAACAGAACAACAAGCAAAAGGTGGGTGTGGCTGGATGACTATACTTCTGGTATCAAATCAGTCAATCCTAAAAGAAATCAACCCTGACTGTTCCCTGGAAGGCCAGATAATGAAACTGAAGCTCAAATCCTTTGGCCACCCAATGAGAAGGGAGCCCTCACTGGAGAAGACCCTGATGCTGGGAAAGATTGAAGGTCAAAGAAGACGGGGACGGCAAAGGATGAGATGGTTGGACAGTGTCATCGACGCAACGAACATGAAATTGAGCCAACTTCAGAGGACAGCGGAAGACAGGAGGGCCTGGCGGGAGCTGGTCCATGGGGTCGCGAAGAGTCGGACTCGACTGTGCGACTGAACAACAACAACAAACATGGGGGTGTGGCCTAATGTGCTAATGAGCTGTGCTGTCAGAGTGTGGCCCAATATGCTAATGAGTTCCTGCTGTTGGGTGTGGCCTATTATGCTAATGAGTTCCTGCTGGGCTTTTTCTACTAAAAGAGCCCTGCTCCCAACCAAGTACTAACGAGGGCCAACCCTGCTTAGCTTCTGAGATCTGGGTTATCCAGGTCAGGACATTGTTGATGCTGTGTAAATCCACCTTGGTAGCTGCCCTAATAACATAGATTAGCCAGAATTCCCATCAGAGCTTAGAAGCTAAGTAGGGTTGGTCCTGGTTGGTACTTGGGAGACTACCAAGGAAGTCCTAGGTCACGACACAGAGGCAGGCAACGGCAAACCATCCGTGCTCATCTCTTGCCTTGAAAACCCCTACAGCAGGGGTGTTGAACATGTGGCCCAGGGGCCAGATGAGGCCCCCAGAGGTCTTCTATCAGGCCCGCAGTGGAACTGGCTGTCTTCTGCTTCTTCTTCCAGTTCTGCTGCTGCTGCATCATTGAAGGTTTGCAGCTTACAGATACACACCTGAACAGCATACTCAAGATTGCAACAGCACAGACATTTTGATGCAATAATTCAGAGCGAGGGGTGTCAGTTATCAGACACTGTGGAATAAACAAAATATTGCAAGAGTGCTAATGTTTTAAGCATGATTTTTATTTTAAGTTAAAAAAAAAAAACCTTTGTGTTTGTGTCCTTTTATAAAGTTCATATCTCCGCTCCCTGGCATTACCTTTCATGACACACAACATGGCCCGGCCCAACAAGGTCTCATTTATGTCAGATCCAGCCCCCATAACAAATGAGTTCGACACCCCTGCCCTAAAGGGTCTCTATTTAAAAAAAAAAAATATATATATATATATACTAGCAGTAAAGCCCATTGTGAAAG